GGTTTGGTGGGGTGCGGCGCTCGCTTACCTGCGGCGCTCGCTTGCCACATACGTTAGTCACAATTATGTTGTAGTAACCCACTAAGTATCTGGTTCTCTGTGTACGTGATACGAGTACGATATAATATAATGTTTATCAAGCGCGTCTTTTTTCTTTCTTTTTCTTCATTTATGCACGGCGGAAAAAGGTTTCGCTGTGTTCTTGATAAGAGAGAGAGAGAGAGAGAGAAGTTTTGTTTTGGTGTGCTTTGCTGTCCTGTGTTGGGTTAAATAAGGTAAGGTAAGGTAAGGTTAGTTGTTAACTATTTATTGTACATAGTATAGTATACATGTTACAAGCCATTAATTTATCCATCGTCTTCTCTTCTGCAGCACCAGCACCAGCACCAGCAGCACCGTCACCGCAACTCTGGCTCTTCTAGTGTATTTCCAGACGATCAGAAGAGTGAGTGATGACGACAGTGCTGTATTGGATTCTTGTGTTTTTTTTCTCTTTAGTAATGCTGCAACGGAGTAATGCTTATGTAGGAAATGATCCAAGAGTCACAAACGACATGTTCGTTACTACACGAGTAGTACCAGATCAAGACGGCGATTCAGGCGGTCATTTTGATCAGAGAGTTAGAACTGGAATGCATCACAGCTCAGTTGCATGGCTGATTCCCCCAGACGCAATTCATTCAATATTAATATATTTCGAAATAGGGAATATAACTTCCCGATATATATATATATATATATATTCCAGCTACACGCCCCAAGACGCCAAACTAATGCAGTATGTACCACTTACAAACAGGGCAGGGCTACCTAATATAGTAGCAGCAGTAGCTCTTGAACCAAAGGGAAAGGGGGAGGGCTCAGAACGCCAAACACCAAAGTATCAGACCGCTCAGTGCTACTACCAACTACCCCATTGCGCTAAAATCGAGCTTGCGAGCAACCTTGTCTGCCCGTCCGTTACTAGGCGTCTCTCCGCCTCTACGCTTGAGATCGTCGCCCATGGCTTTGGGGCCCCCGCCTTCTTTGGGTAGATTTTCCTTTTTGGTTGGGCGGGGTGCATTAGTCCACCATTTGTCCTCGAGGGCCTTGCGGGCGGTATATCGCTTTTGGGGGTCGAGCGTGAGGAGGCCTCTGATGAAGTCGCAGCCGTCGTCGCCGAGGGTGGGGAACTCCTGTTTCCACCAGCTGCGGGGGCGGGTTTGTCGAAAGGCCGTGGTGCCCTGGGGCCCTGTCTGCTTGTCTGGGGCGACGTAGTAAGGGAGCGCCGAGACGCCTGGCCAGGTGTCTTCGGTGGGGGTGCCGAATTTCTCGCAGATGACGCTGACTTGGCGGATGTCGGTGTCGGAATACAGGAACCAGTCGCGCTTGCACAGCTCGGCCATGAGCACGCCTATGCTCCACATGTCGGCGGTGCCGCCGTAGTGCGAACAGCCGTAGAGCAGCTCCAAGGGGCGGTACATGCGCGTGATGACCATGGTGGTCATTTTGGTGCCCGGGTCGGCGAAGCTCCGCGCAAGACCAAAATCAGCCAGCTTGACGGTGCCGTCGGCGGCAATGAGGGCGTTGCTGCCTTTGATATCGCGGTGCAGGACAAAGTTCTCGTGGCAGAACCAGATGCCTTGGCACAGCATGTTCATCCACGCCTTGATGTCGGCCTTTGTGTATGTGATTTCCTTGTTCTTCCACAGCTTCTCCAGGTCGCCGAGCGGGAGGTGCTCGAGCACCAGCGACAGGTTCTGCTCCTTGGTCGAGAAGACGTCGTGCAGCTTGATGACGTTGGGGTGCGACATTTCGAACAGGAACTGCATCTCGCGAATGGCGTCGGGCGCAATGCCGTTGGGGTACTCGGCGTTGAACTTGATCTTCTTGATGGCCACAATGTGCTTGGGGTTGTCGCGGTAGTGCGCCTGGTACACGACGGCATAGGTACCCTCTCCCAGGCGCGGGCCCATGACGAATTGGCTGCGAACGCGTTCGTTCATCTGCTCGGCGAGGTCCATGCCGCCATCGCCCGCGACGGCAGTCGGCGCTGGGGGCGCGGGCGACTTGACGGGCTTTGTCGTGTGGCTGGGGAGAGCGAGGGGTTTGGTCCTATTGGCAGACATGGGCGCGCCTGGCGGATTGGGCCGCGGACTGAGAACGAGGGGCGATGCCATGGTGAGTGATGCTGTGTGTGGTTGAGGCGGGCTCAGCAAGGGAGTTGAATGGAGCGGCGCAGTGAAGTCGGGCGGGTCGCGTTAAACAGTGCTTGGTCAGGGGGGCGACTCTACGGCGATGGCCATCACCTGGTGGTCCTCTTGCGGGCGGGCCCGGGTGTGAAGGAGCAAATAGTCATGGTCCATGGCCGTTCGTGATACGGTGGGCGCGGGTTCCAGGCAAGGCGGCGGCCAGGCAAAAGCACGTCCCAACGTCCGTCTGGCTTGACCGCGGTTTTCAGCGGGGAGCTCGACCTCACCACCGCCGCCCGTCACTATTGCACGCACAATGGCTACTTCTGCGCGAGGCCCGCCAGGCACCGTTGCCGTGTCCAAGGAGGGCATTCCCAACAGGACGTAAGCTGCTGCTCCCGCTCTGCTCCCACTCCATCTAACAACATGCAGCCTCTACGTGCGCAATCTTCCCGACAAGCTACAGAAGGAGGACCTCAAGCGGAACCTGTACATGCTCTTCGCCACGTACGGAGTCATTCTCGACATCGTCGCCCTCAAGACCATGAAGATGCGCGGTCAGGCGCACGTCGTCTTCCGTGATGTAGACTCGTCGACGCAGGCCATGCGTGCTCTGCAGGGCTTTGCCTTCTTCGGCAAGGACATGGTGGGTGCCGTTGATTTGGAGTCTTGACCCCAGCACTGACACGATGCAGCAAATTGCATACGCAAAGACAAAATCCGACACGGTAGCCAAGATCGACGGAACCTACAAGATGCCCGAACCTGAGCGCCAAGACGAGCCCCAGCAGGCGGCTGCACAAGCAGCAGGCTTCGGCGCGGCCCCAGAAAAGGCTGTACCGGTCAATGCGGCGGATGCGGCAAAGGGCCAGAAGCGGGCGCGCGAGGACGAGGACGACGAGGAGAACTCGGGCGAGGAAATGGAAATGGACGTGAGCGACGAGGACTCTGACTAAAGAAAAAGAGGACGCATATGAAGGACATGATACCCACGAGCAGGAACAGGATCCCGGGGGGCACCACGAGAAGAATCGCCTAGACAGGATTGCCCTCGAGCTTGTACGATACTGTGCTGAGCTGGCTGTAGTTGGTGCTGACTTGAGGTAGAGAGGCGTTGAAAGGCGAGCTAGTCTATGAGACTGTACAGAGTCTACCAGGGTCATGCTTCACCCGGCAATCGAGCAAATAAGCTCTGGCACGCATAACGGCCAAGTAGTCTGGATAGGAGGCTGGTGTTGGCCTCATCAGCTGTTGCATTGCTGAGCCGTGGCATAGGCGTCTGTATGTGACTCGATAAACAGCTATCATTCTTGCTCAGGCCTCCCAGTAGGTACCCGCCACCTAAATACACTCTGATTTGGACGTTGGGTACATGAAGCTTTGATACATTACTATTATTGTACAAGTGTCTTAACAGCGCTGCTCTGCTAGTTGAGACTGGTACATGCTTTTCGCCGATTCCTCCAGCAGGCTCTCCTTCTCTACATCGTACCAGGCCGCAGAACCGCTTGCTCGTCTCCCCTCGAGCGCATCGTCACCCATTGTTCTCTCTCCATCGCCGAACGCAGGCTTGAACACAGTGTCGTAGCTCATCCACATGCCCACCGAGATGGCCTCATTGAGCTTTGCAAACCACGCTGGCGCGCGACCCTCCTTGTCCTGCAACTTTTCCGCGAGCGCGAATATAAACACGATAATGGGCAGCCAGATGGCTAGAAAGAGGTTCTTGCCCATCTTCTGCTTGGTGCTGGTGATGGTGTACGGCCGGATTCCGTGCAGGTAGGCGTGGTATTCGGCCGGCAGGTTGCACTCGGCCGCGCCATCCGTGATCAGCTTGAGATAGCGCGCCGAGGGCTGCGCATAGCTGGGGTCGGGCCGGGCGAGACGCTGGGTTGCCCGCAGACTGGCGTCTGGCTGTGCCATGGCGGCAAAGAGCGTGTGGGCTTTGAACGGCGGCGTCGTGGGCACCTCGGGAACGATATCGGCGGGCGGCAGCACGAAGCAGTCTACGAGGATATCGTCGTAGGCGGCGCCGCCGCCCTCGGTGGCGATGATGTGCGCATAGTCTGCCAGCGTGACCTCGTAGACGACGCCGACGAGGCCCTTGTGCCAGCGGTCCTTGTGGTAGTCCTGCTGGCCCGGCTCGCGCAGCGCCGTGTTGGCGAAACACGGCTCTTTGTATGGTATCCCCGGGAGATCGAACGTCAGGCGCAGCGCGGGCACCAGCACATTGATTTGCGAGAGGGGCTGGATACCGCGTGCGCCGCGGAACGTCTCACTGCATAGGTTGGATCCGTACGCTAGGTACAGCACCGTCTTGGCTTTGGCCTCGTCGTGCGGAGCTCGTTGCGACGACAGCAGCTGGCGCGTGTCCAGTGGTGCATCGGCCAGCGAGGCTTCCAGGCGCGCGGGCGCGGTTGGGGGTGCGGCGGGGTACTTGGCCATGCTGTGGGGAGCTGGGTTAACGGAGGGTATAATAATGCGGTTTTAGGCTCTGTTGAGCCGCATGGCTTTTTATGTTCCATTGTCGTGTGTTGTCCGTGGCGGACGAGGGGCCGCAATGCCAAGACTCATATTACAAACCACGACTGTTGCAGCTGTGTCTTGTATTTGCTTGCGCATCATCTGGGGAATATTTCCGAATCACGAGGCTGTGGTGAGTAGTTGTTTGTGTTGTTACTGTACACTTACCTATCTTATCTGATATAACAAGCGTTGACTTGATTAGTTGAAAGGTGACAGTGTTACCTCTTATTCAGGCTGTCATGGAAATCTCGCCGACCGCCTTCTGGAGATTATTCTATTTGAGAAGGAGGTACTCTTCATGAGGATGATTTATAGTTTGCTGCTAGGTGTCTGCTGAAATTTACAAGATGGTGTGCTTTGCAACATGCCCATCACTGGGTATTTCAGTGCAGTAGCATCTCTCAACGGAGTCGAGTCATGAACATCCCGTAAAACCGTGGAAAACACATCCAACTACTGCTAGATATTACTGCACTAGGAAAGCAGATGGTGGTTGAAAAGCTATCCAGAGCTAGACTTGTGAGTCAACTGGTTGCCACGGTGTACTTGGACACAATGTCGTGGGTGAATAACCAGCAATGACAATTTTAGGCTGTATTGAGAATGACAGCAGTCAAGAGGAGAAAGGATGCAGCATGAATTTTCTGGCCAGAAGAACAAGTGCAAAAGACTACATATTAGACGTCACTGTACGACTAAAGCACTACAGTGGAGTACTGGACATGTGCAGTATGCATAGGTAATACACACAGCAGCCCAGAACTTTAGAATTTAACTCGAATTCCTACTAATACATCTTTTCATGGTAAAGCCATGATTGCAGTCATTGCTTGGTCAGTTCTATATTGCTGTCGTAGTGTCTGGGATAATAGCATATGTAGATACAGCTCTGTAACCACCCTTGGAATGTCTGTGGAGTTTTCAGTGATCCAGCAATTATTTGAGCCAAGAGAGATATCGATATGGGTAGTTTGCTTAGCGTTTCACATGCCTGGTGTCAATCGCTGAATTTCCGACACGGAGTTTTGGGTGATGAATCTACGTCAAGCCATCCGACGCATCGATCTCTGAGCCTAGTAGATGGCAAGAACCTATTACTTTTCGTTTCTCGATATATCGTCTAATTTCTGATACTTCAAGTAACATTTTCTCCAGCTTGGAGAAACACGCGATAAACAAGCAAAAATCTTAGGTTTAGCACTTTCAATCGATCGTATGTCGCAGAGAACTATTCCTTTGCTACATGAGCACAAGTCTCGCAGATTAACAGTGTTTACTTTGATAGTAGAAAAAAGATTTTCTTTTCATCCTATCAATCCTCAGATAACCAAGTTAGTCAATGTCTCTGTTAATTCAACAGCCCGCTCGGTTGTATGTATGTATGAATGGACGAATCTAGATAGCAAGTCAAATCTTCCAGTTGCTCTTTTTTCGCAGCACAGGTATGATTGCTTAGCAAAACTATGCAACACGCCCTTCTAAGGCGTTACTAAAGGTGGCTTGCATATTGCGTGAACACCTGTCGTGCCATAATACACGCCTCAGGAATCGCGCCGCGAGCATCCGTATTCCGAGCATTCAATCTCCCATTCATCTCATGTAATCCTTTCACCGTACTTTTCCTAGCTACAATAAACAGCCATGTTGATAATTACTTTGCTGGATTCAACCCTCCATCCTCAACCAACGCGTAACGCATACTACAAAACGCACTGTCTACGCTAATAGACCTGCAAATGTCTTCCTTGGAACCATATCTGAAAGCAATTTTGTATGCTTTCCGTATCCTCATATTATTATTTTTTCAATTCCCATGATTCCAAGCAATCTCGCACTTCCGCAACTTCACAAGGTCAGAAGTAAAATACGTGCATATATACCAGTCAATCGTACTGATTCCCGCACTGCTCCACTCTGTCATGCACACAGCACAGATTCAACGCTTCAACGTGCGCTGTTATCCATACTTACACATAGCCTGTATACTATGTATCAAACGTCCGTATCCAGTACATCCACACCTAGGTATCCATCCATGTTGCCACCGCATCTAGATATCGGATTTTTATCCCTCCACAATGCACAATGCACAATGCACGATAACAACAACAATAGATAAACATGCATCCTCTCATTCTCCTGTACACCCCAATATCCCAACATCCTAATCCGCAATCCTGCAATCCCCCAATTTCCCCAAGTTCCCCTTCCCCAATTAACCCCCACAAATTCCCCAATCCCTCCGCCCTACCCATACTCCCATGTCTCCCCCCCCCTCCCCCGCAAACTTTCCACAAGGCTTAGTCGGATGCGCCATTACCGCCGCAGAAGCAGCCCTACGTACGCACACACACACACACACACATGCATACCACACACATCCAAGGTATCTGTGCGACCCCTACCCCTCGCCCCTTTCACCAGGTGCATCCCTGTTTTTTTTTAGGCGCTTGGCCCCTTCCCCTTCCTCTCCCCATTTTTGATTTTCAAGGGTAGATTATTATATTTATTTACTTTGGGGTTAGGGGCATGCAATAGTAATATATGTGTTATAGATATGGGGGGTAGGTATATGTGTGCGTATGGGCGTATGTATGCGAGTGTGTATGTGTGTATGGGAGGGAGGGAGGGAGGGCTGGCTTGGTGCAAGGTTGAGTGGGGACTGAGGAGCAGGATGACGTCGTTTGTGTGTGTGTGTGTGTGTATGAAGATGGGGTTAGATGTGTTTTCCTGGATGTTTTTTCTTGGCTTGTAGACGATGATTGATTGATTGTTTGTTTGCGGGTTGATGGGGAGAGAAATTGTCGTGTCAAAATCAAAGACTAGACATAGAATATAGACTACTTAGATGGTTTTTCTAGTTTACCACGCATTTCAAGCATATTCAGTTGCCAGCACATTTCATATTCCGTATTTGCACGATTAATTTCTTAGATTGATTCATAAACTACGCTACTCCCTTCTCCGCACGCGGATCTTACCTCCGTGCAGCGGCAGCTTCAGCCACACCGTATCCAGCGGTTTGGGGCGAACAGCCATAAACTCGACGTCGTAATTCAGCAGCAGGTGAGCGATAAAAACCTTCATTTCGTTGAGGGCAAAGAAACGTCCAGGACAAGCGTAGCGTCCAAAGCCAAAGCCGAGGAAGGCGTCGTCGAGAGTGGCTGTTGACTTTGCCTTTGGGACGGCTGGGTCTGCTTTTTCGGCTTCGAGGTCTTCTTTGGCGGTGAAGCTGTCGACAATGTTGCCGACGGTTGTGGGGTCGGCAAAGCGGAAAGGCTTAAAGACGCGGGCTTGAGGGTAGATTTGGTCGTCGTAGTGGATGGGCTCGATGGGCACGGCAAGCATAGTGCCTTGGGGGAGGTGGATGTTGGAGTTGGGAAGGTTTATGCCTTCTGCATGTACGACCTATTTCTTGTTTAGCGGCAAGTTGTTTGAACAACAGGGGAGATGCTTACGGTTCTGGGGAGCCCGCAAATGGCAAATGGGTTCAGGCGCATCGACTCGCGGATCATCGAGTCGATGAGTTTTAGCTTGTGCACCGCGTCACGTGTCCAGATACCACCTGCGCTTGCGAGGACTGTCTTGGCTTCTTCGCGCAGAATTTCGACGTATCCCAGAGATGGATCCGAGCTGAAGAGGTCCAGAATCACGTTTTGCACGGTAAAGCTGGTCGAGTGCAGCGAGATGTCGTTTACCAGCAAGAGACGATGGGCCACGCGTTTCGGCTCCAGTTGGCCCACATCTCCCTTTGCAGCTGCAGCATAGCATTCGTCAATGAGCCATTGGAGACCGTCTTTCTGTGTACCAGTCAGCAAATGACAGGAATTGGCATTCAACGGGCTATTCTGAAACTTACGGGTGGTGTCCATCCGCACTTGGGGTCAGCCTTGAATCGTGCGGTGGCGTCCAATCTCTCCTTGACAAATGGCAGACAGCCTCGCATGGCCCTGCGGCGCAGATACCAGCAGTTTGATGCGACGAGAAAGCCTGTAACGGGTTTTAGTGGTTTTGGTGATGCATTGACCAGCATAGCACCCGCAAAGATGCTCATGGCGTGGTCTCGAAGAGCGTTCAGAAAAGTCTCATCGCGGCCTAGGAGAAAGGTTAGTCATCCGCCATCTCTTGCTCATGCTGTACTTACATAGAGGGGCGCCGCAAAAGGCACCGTTGCTCGCACCGGCAATCAGTTTCAAGCAGGCATCCCAGACTTTGACCTCTTTCCACGTGGTATCGCCCTTTTCTCCCCACCATCGGTCAAAGCCTCGGTTGAGTTCGTCGGCCATTAGCGGCGTCAGATGGTCGAGATTCCTTGTAATCTGGTGGCGCACAACGTTGATTTGGAAGTCATTGTCTGCTACTTCGCTGTCCCAGACGGTCCATCTGGTCTGGATAGTGTCGCTCTGGGTTGAGTGAATGTCGAGAGTCGTCTCGGGAAGCGAGTAGACCTTTTTGATGAGACGAGGCGGAAGAATGACCATGGCACCTCTGTCGATGCTGGGCAAGATGAAGGGGCTGTTTATGCTGGCAAACTAGACGCACGGTGTTGAGCTATGGGCAGGCGGGCGGGTGTTGCAGCAGAGCATACCTTTCGATAGCCTTCAAAAGCCCAGTCCTGTGTCTTGCGGACAGACTTCAAGGTCGCCCAGACCCAGGCGAGCCCTCCTGTGCTCAGGCCTACGGTGGGCAGCTCGCGCCAATGCTTGGATTCGGGCGGGCCAAAAAACAGGGCGCGAATAGCATGGTAGGCAATGAAGAGGACGGACAAGGGCAACAGCGCCTGGGTAGGCGTGATGATGAGCTCCATGGCCAGTTGCACAAAAGCACCAGAGCAGGCGGGAGAGCCGGGCTGGGAACGCACTTAAAGGCTGAGTGGTGGGTTTGGGGAGAGCAGCACTACTCGCGGTGGCATGCATTGGGCGGCGGAAGCGGTTGAGCAGGCCATGAATCACGGTAGTCGGGACCCCCAGGACAGGTGACATGCAGACAGGCAGGGCCCACGGCAGTTGGAGGGGTGGGCATCATCTTGGTCAGCGGGCGGCATGGTGGGTGTGGTGTGGTGTGGTGTGGTGTGGTGTGGTGTGGTGCGGTGTGGAGTGGAGTGGTATGGCAGGGCATGGCATTGTGGAAGGGAGCAGCGGGCGGCAGGGGCTTGGCGGGGCGCACGTGATTGGCGGACGGGGCGGCGAGCACATGGTCTTTGCCCGTTGCCTGAGATGCAAAAGACTACAGAGTCGCTGCATTGAAACGTGCAGATGGGATGCAGTAGTCCCGGCCCATATGGCAGGTTGCTCGACAAGACGCCATCCGCGCGCTTCTCCAACACGGCTCGGGTCGGGCGACGGCCGCTTCTGGACAGGCGTATGGACGGAGCATGTGTGTACGGCTGGGATTTTTATGTACTCGCTTGGCGGTGGAGCGTCAGCAGTGCCGTGCAGCGCAGTGGAGCCGTGATAGATAGAGACTGACGACGCAATTGCCCGTGTGTGCATCTGGTCTGCGTGTGCAGCATCGAGATGGGCGAGGGCACAAAGCACTGCCAGCCGCCGCAGCCCGCCCCGGCTTGTGCCGCCAGCCAATCCATCTGGCGGTAAAGCGAACGGGTGCTGATGCAAAATACGTGTGCCAAATGGGCGAGCGTGCCGCCTCGACATTTGTGCTAGCACGACCCCAGCCGGCGTGCATTCTCGCTGCAATCTAGATCATCCACCCAGGCCATGCGCCAGGGTTGCTCCCGTGGCCGGCGCTGCCGCTGAGTGGCCAGCGCCGAGTACCATGGCCAGAGGGTGTAGAGCGATGAGAGCATCACCCTGGCTCGGACCGAAGCAATTCCCACCAGCCTTTCCCATGTATAGCAGCCGGCGAGTGGGTGACGGGCTCGAGGGCTTCCACGCCCCACAAACCCGGTGCCCCAGACCCGCCTGTGTGCCATGGCAGCACGCAGCACTGCTGCTAGGACGTCGGTCCAACTGCCATCTCACCGGAACTCGACGAGAGCCTCTGGCAGCGGCATGCGGAGGGCGTGGTAGAGGCAAGGCATCTGCCGTCACACGCTGGGGGGCGCTCTGGGGGCGCTCTGGGGGGTGCCGTCGCGATCGGTATGGGGGCAGGATGCATGTCCACTCCACCTCGTCCACCACCGCCGCCGCCGCCGCCATCCAGACAATCTATGCGGGAGCCAGGCGCTGACGTACATGTACAGCAGACTCGTCAGCCAGAATCGCCGGGCAGCCCAAAGCGGCACTCGCCCTCTGGTGCTCTCTAGGTGCAGCAGAGGTACATATACGACTCACGACCGACGTCGCCTCTAGCTTTGCGAGGCGCGGCGCCCGCCAATCACAGGCGCCCGCATCCGCCCTGGTAGCCGCCACATGGGCCAAGCCCGCCTAAGCGCGCCTCTGCAGCATCTGCGCCATCTGCGCCATCTGCACCCTCTGCACCCTCTGCGCCCTCTGCCCACACGGCCACCATGGCGCTGCCCTGCTCGCTCTCGTCGGCCGCACATGGCGACACACGATAGCGGCCGTCTTGCGCAACCCGGCTGCCCTCACCCGCACTACGCCCCAAGGGGCGGGCGTCGCCTGTGCAGCAGCGCCTCGACCACCTGTTAGAGCCGCAGTCCCGAATGTGGCCAACCGTATTCCCCGAATCCTACGCTAGACATCGGCCCGTTCTCTCGCAGGAATTGCAACACAAGCATGGATCGAGACGCTGCCTCTGTTGCCCGCTGCATCGGCCATGGTCGCCTTCTAGGATGGCTGGGTAAACGCATCCAGTCTATGCATCACATGCACTGCAAAGCCCGCGCCCTGCAAAGCCCACGCCCTCGTACGCAGCCACACCGAGCCCACGCCAGCATGGGCTGATGCTGCTTCCCTCGACCTGCATGATAACGGCACGGTAAACTAATGTCCCTCTCTAGTCGCCTCCATGTGGACCTCGCCGTCGTGCGGTGCCTTGCTCAGACTGCCATGTCGCCGTATCACGCTTGGAACCACATCAGCCTGCGCCTTGGTCGCCTTCTAGTATATCTACCAAAATACGGCCCCCTACACCCTGCTCAAGTAGCCGCCTCGGTCCAATTCCCAACTTCCCCAGCGGCTGCTTCTCAACATGAACATGAACACCCTAGACCTACCTGCAGCACAGCTGCCCTCACTGAGCACCATGACGGTCAATACCGCCAGCAGTTTCTTTGGCTTCTTGTCAATCTTCCTCTTCTACAAGGCACTCGTGGCCAAGCAGCTGGTGCGTCTGCATGCCCTCTCCACCTCGTACTTGGCAAACACACACTGACCGACCGTGCCAGCCCTCACCATGGAAGCTCCTCAGCTACCTCTTCAGACCTCTGACCAAACGCTACCAGGCATGGTCGTACCTTTTTTGGGGTCCTGAAATCATCCAAAAGGCCTTTGACGAGGCTGGTGGGAAGCCGTTTGAGCTGTTCGCTCCCGACAACCGCTATGTCTTTGTGTCTGATCCCCAGCAAATCAAAGAAATTGACAATGCTCCCGACAATGCCTTGTCGCTGCAGGCGGCCTCGAAGCAGGTTTGTAATCCTCACCCTCGACGGTTTCACTGATGCTGATTCACTGTAGATGCTGCAACCCATGTACACCATGTAAGTAGATACGCTTCCTCAGGATTCTGATTTACACAAGCGAGTGCACGAATCACCTCATCTGCGACTTTCCTCTGAACAGCTCACTGACATTTGCAGGCATGGCTTTAACTGGTTCAACACACGAGGAACAGAGGGCGTGGGATTCATCCGCGCCCTTCGCACCCTTCTGACCAACAACCTGCCCAAGATCTTGCCAGATCTGACCTGCATCATCAAGACAAGATTCGAGGAGCTACTCGCTACTCATCCAGTCGTAAACGGTACTTGTGCAACTCATCCCAGCCAGAGACAAGCTGACAATGAGGCCCAGGAAAGAGGCAGTCTGATGTCTACCACACCACTATCAAGCTCGTTGTATTGTCCAACGCCGTGTCTTTCTTTGGAAAAGACTTGGGTAAGTCTCTCCTGATCAACTATGTGAACACAAGCTTATACTCTGTAGCGAAAGACGAAGAGTTCATGGTGTCGGCACTGGCATACATTGAAGAGACATTGATTTGCGCCGAAATTGTTCGCCTTCTTCCCAGCTTCTTGAGCCCGTAAGTACTCTCTAGACTTCTTCTACGCATGGCCTAACAACACGTGTCTGCAGCATTTTCGGTAACATCATTGCTCGTACACTCAAGTCGCATGGTGTCATCTTCAACAGGCTCCTGCCCATTGCTGAGCAACGATGCGTTGAGCGTGACGCTGCCAACTTGGGCCAAAAGGTCCCAGAACACGTACGTGCTTATGATTCAGGTCCGTCCTGTGATAAGATTCTAACACGTTATCTAGGCCGACTGTATCCAGTGGATCATGGAGACGTCTCCAAAGAGCCGCCCATGGACACCTCAGCGTGTTGTGCACGAACTGATGGCCATCTGGTTTGGCTCTGTCCACGCCGTGTCCACCACAGTGACATTTGCTATTCACGACCTGTGCCTGCACCCCGAATACATGCAGCCGCTCCGTCAGGAGTGCGAGGCTCAATACGCTGATTTTGAGCGCACTGCAACTGGACTTCCGCTCCTTGACAGCTTCATCAAGGAGTCAGCACGTCTGACCCCCGTCGAATCACGTAAGTCTTGCTATCCCTGCCTCTACAAGCTAGTGTCTGACATGCAACAGAAAGCACCCGTCGTTCGGCACTCCGGCCTTATACCCTCAAAGATGGCACGCACGTTAATGTCGGCGATTGGTTCTGCACACCTGTCCGCGCCATCATGACCAACCCAATCGACTTCCCCGAGGCAAACACCTTTAGTGGTTTCCGCTTCGCAAACCCCGAGCTCGTCAAGAGTCTTGAGAATGGCCATGGCTCATTTGACATTCTGCAGAAGAAGCCTACCAAGCTGACCGACGTCGACATGACATTCCACGTCTGGGGAACCGGCAGAATGGCATGGTAAGCTTCTGTTCCTTGTGTCTCCACGATGAATTGCTAACAACACCCAGCCCCGGTCGCTTCTACGCCTCAGCAGTCATGAAGGTGATCCTAGGCCAGATGATCCTCAACTACGACTGCGAACTCCTCAACCCAAACGAAAAGCGCCTCTTCACATGGCGCTCGACAATCCTGCCCAAGCCCAGTGCAAAGGTTGTCTTTACCCCCGTCCGAGCCTAAAATACAACACACGCCGCCGCGGGCACGGAGTTGATCCAGGGCACGCACATAACACACGGTAATGATTAAAACAAGGTGGGTGGGCGAGTGAGACAAATCTCCGATTGTATATGTGTGAGTGTGTAAGTATGTGTGTGTGTGTGTGTGTGTACCTGGGGGGATGGGCTCGTGTAGTTCCGTGATGACGGCTATTGTGTGTGTTTTCGCTCGGGCATATACCTTAATGACATGAAACGAAACGAAATGAAATGAAATTGCTTTTATTCTTTGATTGCATGCTCCTCCTTGATTGTTCTCATCGCCATGATCCCTTATCCTTATCATTGCCATCAACTAGCTATAGTTAAATTAAACACCCCCATGAAACACCGACGTCCAAATTGCCCACTGCTGAAAAAAAAAGCTCAGAGAGAGAGAGACGGAGATGGAGACAACACCTCACACGGGAAACGTGAAAGAAGAGGGGAATTTTGCAGATACCTTGATTTGATCCAACTTACGTACATACCGCATCCATCTGCCGCACCTGCACCTGCACCTGCACCTGCACATCCACACACACACACACGTCTCCAAACCATAGTACACACACATAGCCCACGCATTGCATTTTTTTTTAGTTAGTTCCCCTAGTGCCCCCCCTCCTTACCCCCTCCCTGGGATAACCCCAACAACGCACATGTCATACCCGCCTAGCCCAACCTCAGCTACGCCACACACACACACATACACACACACACACGTCCCGCACCTACAGCCTACATCTGCACCCAGGTATCCCGCCTCTCTTCCCACGCCCACCAAGAATTCAAAAAAAAAAGAGTTGCCGCGCATACATACTGCATACATGTACATGTACATACTGCATACTGCATACCTAGTTCTGCAGCTCCGTCCGCCTCCGGGAACTCCGGGACCACGTGGGATGTGCAGGGAATAGGTACTTGGGTCGTGGGATTTTTTTAGGATGAGGGGTCCACATATATACATACGCACACATACGCACACATATACACAGAGAGAGAGAGGGACTACTCTACTCTACCCAACCTAACCTAACCCATCCCCTGTCCGCTTTTTCCCCATGCCATCCCAGCCCAAACCCAAGAAACGCCCCCCCCCCCCCCAAAAAAAAGAAGAAGCAGGGGTGAGCCAAGCGCAAAAACCAAGTGCATGGAACGATAACATAAAAATAGAAGAGGGATAAAAAAAGGTATGAAGGAAGAGAAGAAAAAAAAACACCGCGGCATATTCCACGTGTGCGTCATGCAGCTATAGTAGTTCAGCCCGCTAGTAAAGGATGGCTTGGGGTTAGACTTGGACTTGGGCTTAGGCTTAGGCTTAGGCTATGGATGTGGATGTGGATGTGGATGTACCTACACTACACTACACTACACCATGTACATGTATGTATGTATGTATGTATGTATGTACATATGCGTGTAGAATATACACAGCCGTAAGTCTGCACATAGCATGTAGCACTACATGCAACCGTCTCTCTACTGATCTCTATATCTCCCTATCTCCCTCCCAGTAGAGTAAAGTGAGTAAGATGAGGTACAGGGATACTCCTGGATGCATACAATGCTATGCCGGGTTTGTGGAGGAGATTTTCTAATTTTTTTCCCCACTGCGCTAGGGAGATGTGTGCAAGGAGACTTGAGATTTGTGATGGAGATGGAGATTGGGATTGATATTTGTTTAGGTGTGTCGGTGAAGCATAGTGGTGTAGTGATAGAGTGGAGAATCTCTAGCTACTTGGGATAAGTAGTACACTACAGTGTTCCACAGAGAAGCCAAATAAACCAGTGGAGAGGGAATACCCACATCGACAGCAAATAGTTTTGAATACGTAATCGATACGTAGCGAGGTATGCAGGTAGTCGGAGTACCGGTACATAGATCAAAGAGACTTGCCGCGTAAGACAAGCGCGTAGAAATGGGCCTTGGTTGGCTGTGACCTGCCGTTTATGGAGAGCATGGAATCTTACATAAACACGGGAGATGGCGATGTGCTGTGGCATAATTGTTACGGAGGTGGGTGTAGCGTGCTTTGAATAGGGGTGTGTACGTGGGGTTGCGATGCGATGGAAGATTGAGCAAGGTAAGGGCTGGAGAGAGAGAGAGAGAGTGTGTGTGTGTGTGTGTGTTCAGGGTAAGAGTATATTATACATCTCCCATGGGTATCTCATTCGTATAGGTACTGGCTACCAGTCGTGTTTCTTTCTCCAGTTGCTTAACTAAACATTACCGTGTCATCGACATTATCCTTTGTATCCTTACCGCGCAAACAAAAAACCACGATTAGTGCATTAGGGGATAAATCGATAATACCCATCAACTCCAAAATTCACCTGCAGACTCCAATACCATCTGCAAACACTACACTTTCCGCGCCGTCTTGTCATTAGAAGGTGCAAAACTGGACCTGTTGGTCGGAGGTGTGCGTGCAAAAGGCAGGTCAGCTGCGGTTGCATTCCGCTGGTTCCATACCGCCCACGTATTTCCGTTTCGGTCCAGCAGTCTGGAATTCGGGTCGTGGCGCCGCGTTGCAGCAGGTGCTGTCGCTGGACCTGTTTTAGGCACGTTGAATCCGCGCTCCACGATCTGCGGGTTGAAGACGTCGGGCGCGACCACGGCGTAGCCTGTGTAGACGGTCATGGGGGCGGGCAGAATCTCGACATAGCGTAGGCGATGGGCGATGCGAGGAGGCATGGGTACGCGGACTGAAGGGATGACTGATGAGAGGGGAAGTCGTGGTGGTTGTTGAGGAGGGGTGCAATTGGTGTTGTCTTCATTACTGGTCATGGACGGCAGTGAAGCCTGACCGTTAGACGTAGTGCTGCATGCGATACTGCATGTAGTCTTATTGCTGCTCCATGTTGTAGTCTTGCTCGAGGCATTGGAAGCAGCCTTGCGCCCGGCAAATAGCTCGACAATCCAGTCATGCCATGATTTTGGAAGTTGGTGCGGTTTGCCTTGCTGCACCACTGAGTGTGATTCTGAGTGCGATTGGCTTTGTGTAGTGCATTCAGGATCCTCGGATGCAGGCTCGGAAAGTGGTGCTTCTTCGGATTCAGACTCAGAGAGTGGTGCTTCTATCAGAAGCGAGTCACTGGGATCGTCGTCGTCCATTGGTTCGGGTCGCGCGCCCAGACTTCCTGGATCAAACGTAGAAGTCAAGGATGCTCCAGTGTGAAGCTTGCTCTGGGCACCGCTTGTTTCATATTCTCCTTCAATCGAAAGTCGCCGCTTTGGAAAACATGTTTCTTTCTTAGTGGCCGGTTGCGCGGGATCTCCATAGAGGACGCCGTCTATTTCGATCGGGAAGATGTATACTGTGACTTGTTAGCAAATAACTCGCAGCCAATTGGTGGGCAAGCACATACAAGTGCTGTCTGAATCTGAGCTCCGCCCAAGTTTGTCTGTTTGCTCTGGTTCCACCCGTTCCACGTAATGCGTGCTGTTTTCTCCCTGATGCTGCGTATGCTGATTGTGGGTTTGCGCGCGTGACTTATCTCTAGGCAAAGCCATCGCGTTGTCCGATATTAGCGCGGGCGGTTTGGCGATAATGTGAGATAAAGGCAACGGGACAGTATTCGAAGAGTAGATTGCGAGTAGTGGAGCGAGAGGTAAAGTTGAAGGTGATATTGCCAAACTCGCACTGGGTGAGCATATGCGAGCTGTACCATTGGCTGGTGCGCGGCAAAGCGCTGAGTAGGAGTGAATGCGGTGAAGGGCAAACACGGTGAGTGCGAAAACAGTAAATACAGATAAACGGTAAGACGGAAGAGGGGCATGTAGAGCCTTCACTGACATTGCTATGTGACTAGTATGGATTCACCAAGTGAGGTGAATGGGCAGACAAAGGTGTGAATTGGCTTCAGTAGTCTCAGAGATCGGGATATAGCTACAACCATATCTCTTGAATCGCAGATATCGGAGCAATTACGCTTGTCGAAGCTATCATGTGCGCTGGCTTGAGCGCTATGATGCCTCATCGGTCATCACTCAAGGCACATGGGTAGAGGCTTCTTGTTGATTCAGACCTCACGCCTCGGCCTCACGCATTGTCGGCGCAAATATATGTAACTGCATGTCAAGTTAGATAATAAAACGTCTAGAATAGAGCGTTGCAGTACCGTTGTTGCCACGAACAAAAGCATCGCCCCAGTTGCGCGTGACCCGACCGTCAGAAACTTCCTTGCATCGTTCGAGGGCAATGTTCATATAGCCATCGACAGACTGAAGGTCGCCTATTGCTGTGTTAGCAAAGGGCATGGACGAAGGAACAGGGCACACACACCCTTGTAGATGATGCCGGAGTTCAGCTTGACGGTAACAGGAGCTCCAATGATGTCGCTAAGGAAGCCGCTGGGATCTCTCGAGTCGCCAGCTGCTTCAGGCGCTGGGCTTTCGCCGTTTGTAGACATTTTGTCGTGGTGGGATGAAAGTTTCTGGATGTTGAAATGGCAAGGCGATGTCGACTGGGTAGTAATGATGGATGTGCGGTGCAACGCACGGACCCTCTAGTCGTCACGCAGAAGTGGCAGTCGCGAGAAGCGTGACTGCGCGTTTGGGCAAAGCCCCACCGACGCCGCTCGCCCCTTCCATATGAGCATTGATTGATACTCTTCCAGAGCCCCTCACCCTCCCCCATACCAAACCCATGCCTTGGCCACGGCCATGACCGAAGCCACTCCAACGGGCGCGGCGCCGCCCAAGAAGCGTTCCCTCTTCAAGCGCCCGGCTTGGCAGGACTCGCCCAAGAACGAAGACGCCGACATATTCAGCCACTCCAACGAGTTCAGCGACATTGTTGCCGAGCAGGCCCGACGGCGCGAGGAAGAGAAGAAGAAAAAGAGGCACGGCGACAGGAAACGCCGGCGCACATCAGACCACGGCGAAGAGCCCTCATCCACCACGAGCGGCGCGGGCAGGACCAGCAGCAAGACGTATGCATAGTCTGAGGCAGCGGCAACCATATGCGCACGCTGACCAGGCCCCTCCAGACGCAGCAAAACGCTCCTCTCTCCCGTTCCAAAACACTCGTCGCCCAGCTCGCGGGCACCGTCGACATGCCCGAGTGTTTCGCTGCCACAGAAAGAGTCGCTCGTCATTGCGCTGGATGACTCGGACGACGACGACTCCAAGCCGCACCGCCAAGAGACTACACTGGGTCCAGGGCCAGTCAGTGCCAGCCATCTACAAGACATGGCTGTTAGGCCATCGAGACCCTCGCCCGTGGTTATCCCAGACGATGAAGATGACGAGGCAAAAGACGACTCGGACTCTGAGTTTGCGGCGTTGCGAGCGAGAGCACTGGCGCGCATTGCAGCAAAGGCAAAGGCCTCGTCAACAGAAGGCGTCGAGGGTGCCAAAGCGCCCGTCACCCAGCTACTCATCACATCTGAAATTCCAAACACCAGCGCCTTAATGGTCAAGGTCAGAGTAGATACGCTCATTGAGAAACCGCGCAAAGCATGGTGCGCAAAACAAGGCTTTGCGCCTAGAATGGAGGATAGTGTCTTTTTTACCTGGAAAGGTACACGTATATACGATAGTACATCTATTATGCGCCTAGGGATACAAATCGGTGCCCACGGTAGCGTGACAGTGGACGGAGACTCCAACATCTACGATGACGTCAACCTCCCCAAGATCCATGTAGAGGCTTGGACAGACGAGTTGTTCAGAGAACACAAGAGGGAAGAAGCGGCGGCGGCGGCTGCCAAAAAGCTTGCTGCAGAGGCTCCTCTTGTGTTGGAAGAAAGGACTCCGACTCCAGAGCCCACGCCGCCATCGACAAAACTGCGCCTTATCCTCCGTGCAAAAGGAAAAGCAGACTTTGGGTTGACAGTGAATCCAGTACGTATTTGCAATCTTTGGAATACAAGACAATCCCATGCACCGTGCAGGATATGTGTTAACCACAGCCATAGCATACCACTATAGCTCACATCGCAAATGCCTACAAGACGAAACTCGATATCGATAAAAACCAGCCAATCACACTCATGTTCGATGGCGATCGACTGATGCCCTTGGATACTGTAGCCGACTACGACATGGAGGATATGGATGGCATCGAGGTCCTCTTCAAGTGAAGTACTTATCTAGCCCTGTCTTTGTTTCATCCAGTTATCTTTGTTTCATGATCTGAACGCGAGCGCGGCGTTGGCGGCGCATTGGCATCGAATAGCAACAATGGCTGTCATTTGGGCCATTTGCCTCATTGGCACACTACCTCAAATATTGGGGTTCTTTCTCCTGTTTGCGCCTCCGTCCAGGATCAACTCTTGTCCGCTCAAAAATCCCGCGCCCATGACATACTCGACCATCTCGGCAAGGTCTTCTCCGCGGCCCACTCTGCCAGCTGGGTGCTGCTTATGGTACAGTTCATCTAGATCGTCTGCCCAAGCCTGCAGCCTCATCTTTCGCGCCGCCTCTTCATGTGGCGCCACCTCCTTGTACGACCCGTTCTGCGCTTCCTTCAGTTTCAAATCCTTGGCCTTGCATTCATGGTCTACATGAACCCAGCCTGGTGAAATGGCCATGACACGGATGCCCCAGCGCTGGCAGGAGATGGACATGGCTTGGGTCAGAGCCAGAACGCCTCCTTTGCTCGCCGCATACCCTTCGCAATCGGGATCGGACTGGTGGGCGCGGAACGAGGCAATGTTGATAATGCAGCCTCCCTCGTCGAGCTTGTCCTCTCCATGCAGGTTGAGCGGCAACTGGTTGAATTCGTCGGTGCGCTTCAGGTCTTTTTTGCGGTCAACGCCTGGCGCGCCCTCTTTCTGTGTGTTTTTGCTCTTCATGAAGGGGATGACGGCTTGGCTCATGTAAAAGGGCGCGCTGAGGTTGGTGGCAATGTAGGCCTCCCATTGTTCTCCTGTGGCGACGTCCTCCATGGTACCATTGCCTGCGTTAAAGAAGCCCCGGGCAATACCAGCGTTGTTGATGAGAACATCTATGCGTCCGCCAAAGAATTCTGCTGCTTGGGCGGCTGCGCTGCGGATCTCTTCTGGCTTGCAAAGATTGGTTACTGACGACCCCACCCGTGGAGCATAGGCGGCCAGATGTGTGTTGACGGCATATTCGAGTTCCTCTTCGTTGAAATCGATGATGAAGACGCGGTGCGATACGGGCAGAGACAGCAAGTGTCGTGCTGTGCAGCGGCCCAAGCCTCGCGCACCGCCCGTGATGATGATGTTCTTGCTCTTAGTCGACGGCATGTTGCACAATCTGTCCTTGGAACACAATTGTCAAACTCCAGGCACAACAATTCTATGCACAAAAGAAAGACACAAACGACTGCATTCTTATACATACACATTGCCCTAACGCCATTCTGCACGCGTGTCTGTGTTCCGGGCGACGACGCGTAACAAGCGGGCGTTCAATCTTGAGGCAGCAGCTACAACAACCGCGGCGGCTTTTTTGTCCCTTTCAGCCTATATTCCACTCCAACTTGGCCGCCAGTCGCCGCCTCGTCCCAGACAATCGGAGCACGCAGCCCCGCCAACATTCATCCAGACGCGAACCATAATGCCATCTGCATGTGAGATGTTGGGTGGCTAAGTACTCGTGCAAGTGCTCGTGTTCGGATGTACATCCGTTCATACATCTACCAACCAACCTACATACATCCATACGTTGGAAGCAGGCCCGCAGATCCGGAAGAGTCAGAAGCTTAGCCCACCGTCTTATCACTGAATCGAACACGTGGAGTAATATGCGCTGCGGGCTGAAGGGAGTTTGCGCTTCGGCTGGCTCTAAGCGACCGGTGGGTTCGCAACACGCTGATTGCATGCTAGTCTTGGGGTCGAGACATTCAGCCCGGGATTACGGGGCGGCTTGCGGACGGCCCACTGCTTCCTTCTTCCTGCATATATCTATATACTACGCTGCCCAGTAAGTTAAAAGTACCAAATGCTAAATAAAGATAAAGTTTCAAGTAAACTGATTGTAAGGACTACACCTAATATACGCTTGCTTCACCCTTTAGTTTACTTTAGGTTCAGTTCATACTAGTATGTGCTATGATTTTCTGTTTTTTTCGCGAATCGAATATGGGTATCACGTCTAAAATAAATACATCGACAAAGTTGAACGGGCTTCTATCTCACGGCAGGTTCACAATCAAAGCTTGGTTTTCTTTTTACTTTGTAATCTTTGCATAACAATGCTCATAGTCCGGGACTATCTGTCAATAAAACCGCACTGTGGGACCTGAGAACTGCCTTTCGCGCCTCACATGCAATTCCCGTGACATTACCCCACCATGCTTGATCAGAACATGCAGCGGTAAACTTGGAACTAGCCAGTTACATTGCCAAACAACTTATCCCGTTATACAAGTATAAATATTGGACCTAGGGTAAAGTGCCCTGCCTGTAGCAAGTGAAGCCCTACAGGAGAAAGTGAAAAACTGGAAACTGGCATGTGGTGGGACAGGAAAAAGCAAGTCCTTCCTAGAATCCTAGTTGAGTGTGATCAAAGCATGGGCCAAATCCCCTAAGGTGCTACATCAGCCTTGAGGTTAGCGTAGCGTTGCATCAATGACAAGGCTCCAGCAGCGTACCATCATTCCTTCATCACATCACGATGTATCACGCCAAGAGTCGACGGTCGTGTTTATTATGTCACTTAGTAGTACAAGTTGATGAGCACGTTGCTACTAGTACGTCTGAAGTCGTCATGTCTCGAGTCTCTGCTGACGTTTTTAGTTTCAGGTAGCGCCGAAAACCCTTTGTTTCATCTCTACAAAGACGTTTTCTGCCAGAAAGATTTCTGTCTAGCTTGTGTATCTGGACAAGGAAAAACACCAAATTGTGTTCATCGTGACTGCTATGTGTTTTACAAACACTTCTTTCCAAAATCACCACTGCGACTTCAAGGTTTACTACAACTGTGGCCTGATACCGTGGACTTTGCGTATCAGAATAGCGAACGACAGCAGCATGCGTACAGCAAATACATAGCCCATCTCAAACAAGATTTAGCCTGTAGCATTCTGCAGAAGAGTTCGACGAACTTACGTCAGTTTACGAACTTACTCCGGTTGATGGCCCAAATACTGCCACCTGAACTCCTCTGTCGTATCGCAGAGCTTTCGTGGCCGTGTGCTCTGCAGAAGCCCGTGACAATTCTAGCAGAGAACAACTCACTCCTACAATTTTCGAAGCGAAAGGAACACAACACAGTCACTATAATAGAGTATAGAGGAGAACCAGTCTTCGTTACGAAAGTAGCTTTTCTAGGCTCATCCTACGTGACCGGTCTAAGCATTGACAGAAAATCGACTGTTCACCGACGTGGTGGGTTACGTATTGCTGTCGTACGAGACAATCTGGGAATCACAGACATCGACTTCAATTGGAAATTTTCATCCTCGAGGCAGGTTTTATGGTATAAAGTCATAAGTACTGGCGTAGATCACCTCAAATTACGTGTCTGTATCATGGTATGCGTCATGTTAGGCTAATTCTCACCGCTGCTAACTAGCAAAGAACATATTCACGGATTTTGAACCAGGAAACGAAGAGTCACCTTGGATTCCCTACTGGACCATCCCATTGCTTCATCCACCCACAGTAGATACGTGGTATATCAATAACCGCAATGCATCTCGCCCAACCCTGATGAGATATGTGCAGAGATGTCAACAATCAAGCTCATCAAGCCGAGCTAACTTGATACAGTAATAGGCTAGCTTTTTTAGGCCTAATCATTACTATATCGCGTTAGCTCGGCTTGATGAGCTTGATTGTTGACATCTCTGGATATGTGGAACTAAGGAACGACATACAAGGAATCATTGTCTGGTGCACTGTCAGTGGTATCATTAGCATCAATACTTACACCAACACTAGCAATTGGAGATCCTCCGGAGATGAAAGCCGACATCTCAGGGACGCCGTGTGTATCTATTTTCCCCTTGCAAAGAACGAGAACGTGGTATCAGCTTGGGTGCGCGAATTGAATGATGATACCAATATACGCTGTCCTGCTCTCATTGTAAGGCAATCCAATCTTCTATTAGCAGCCATCTGACTGAATACTAGCTCAGCACTTCTCTACAACGAACATGTACATTCGGACCGTATGTTGCTTGTGAACAGCAGGACAAATACCAGTACCATGCCCTGGTTTCTGACGATAATCGAGTAACGGGTCTTTGTTACAACGACAAGGGAATCCTGTCTTCAGAGCAGATGAGAATCGGCGTAACGCAGGAAAAAGTGCAGCTGCAATTCGCAACTCAACAGCCTTTCCACACGACACACACACCCCCAATTTCACCAATTCCACAATGGTTCCAGTGTTCGGCAACAATGACTGAAGTCAACCGCATACGACTGTACACAGACAATAAGAAGCCGCAGAAGCCTACAGTTGGAATGCTGCTGATATATGAAACCCGCGAAGAACTACTGGGGCAGTTTGGCTATGACCACGATATTGAGGATTATGAGTTGACTGGACCGGTATACTATTTTTCAGGCAACACGCAAACAGGACCCTGTACAAAAGTCGTGTGCAATAGGGAAATGGGAGAAGGCTGGATCAAGCTTCCACAAAATGCAGAACTCGTATGGTGGTTTAGATTTGACTGTTCAGTACTGGAGATTATTGAAGAATAGCATAGTTTTTTCTCACTATTTTATCCGTAGAAGACTAGTTCTTACCTGTTTCTGCTAAGCTCACTAGTGACAGTTTAACTTCGCCGTTTAGCTTCCACTCCGCTATATAACCTGGATGCTACTCTGTTGCATACTGGATCTGATGAAATATCTCAATATATACACACAATGATATCTAGTCTTGCGTCATGTTGAAAGAGCAACCAAGACTTCTTTGACGCTTGATTCAGATTGTGGAACCCCTCACCCCGGTCTTTATACGAGCCAAAAACCAACAAAGAAACTCCATGTGCACGTGAGGCCTCAAGCCATGATCAAGGACAATGTCAGGATTGAAGGGGCTCTGCTATATCTTGCGAGTTCCTTCCTTCTGAGAGGTACATTATACGTACAGCTAGCTAGTCTTTGTTCTTTGCACCACCACCACCACCACCCCAAGATGCGGTCGAAAGGACTCTCGGTTTTGCTCGCTGCGCAGGTAGTGCGTGGGTTAGTGTTTGTGACTGATCTGCCTGCCTATGTAGGAACTGCATCTCCTGCAATAACAGTACCGAGTGCATCGTCGAGGCCTAGGAACAGCAATACGGCATATCCACCGGCAAACACAGCATGCAACTCGGTCTCATCGAGCGCCTCCATGTTTCGAGTCGGGGCTTCGATTATCCCTGCATCCAGCTCAGACAGCACATCAAGTCGATCTAGTTCAGTTGAGCGGGATTCTACTTCTACAGCTCTGGATTCTGCAGTATCACCTTCAGTGCACCAGCCAGAGTATTCCAACTCAGCTGCATTCCCAAAATCAACTTTGGAATCAAGTATCGAGAAAGACAATTGCTCGAGCAATATTCCCAACTGCGCCTGCTCAACCGCAGCATCTCCATCTACCACGTCTTCGGCCTCAGCTTCACTCAAAGCCTGTACAACCGTCGTCGTCGTGCCTGTAACAACGTTTCCTCCCTCACCACCACCAAGTAAGCCAACTGCCTTGCCTACATTGCACTTCCTCGCCCATCGAAGCGAGCATCCAAAAAACTCCATATCAGCACAGCACTCTCCGCCTCCCTGCGGCAACTCACCATCGCTATCTCGCCACCCCAGCCCCAGTCGAACACTCACACGCACACACACAACAACCACAACTACCGATACGACGATTACAAAACCAGCACCAGGCCCATCATCATCATTGTCATCTGCAGCGTCGAAAGTAGAGTCTAGCAAGACGCATTTGCTGGTGTATACCAGTGTAATTATGCCGGATCCGCGGTGTCCGTACCCGTTTCCGGGGGTTCATTGTAGGGCGCCCGAGACGACGCTTGTGACGGGGGTGCGGCGGGGAGGGTAGTTTAGGGCTAGGAGAGTGTTAGGGGAGTGGGAAGGAGGGAAGGGGGTTGGATTGTGGGTAGGCGGTTTTGAAGACGTTGTATGTAGTATATATGTTCTTAGTATTACTATTTTAGTGATTTGATTATTCGCGTATGTAGTGTATCGTTGTATCGATTGCCATGACTTCCGTAGCATGGAATGCTAGAAACCAGGACTCGATGCTTTATGTGTCAAAGCCACCTCATCTCGTTGCCATGGCTTCATCCACCTTTGCTCCAGCACACTCCTCAAGCAATCTATCCTGCACGTTCTTCGCAGCCTGCGCGTAAGCGATAATATCCACGTCTTTCGCCTTGCCGTCTTCGCCGCCATCAAATACCTCGTAGCTAAACCATCCGCGGAATCCCGTTTTGAGTACTGCTCTCGCCACATCTACAACAGGGAGGTATCCACCGTTGTATGAAAGCGGTCGAAAGTCGTGGCTCCAGCGCCCGCGAGGCAACAAGCCTGCTTCGTCGCGCTCCGCATGCAACGGCTGCGGTACCTTGTATGCGTCGCTGATCTGCAGGAGGTAAATCTTTTCCTTTGGGATGCTCGTGCTGAGATCTTCGAGGCTCTTTTGAAACCGCTTCTCCAATTCGTCCCTGGACACGTCTTCGCGCAGTCCAGAGGCGGTCCTCGGGTCGCCCCATTCTCCGCCAGCCGTCTGGAAAGTGTCAAGACAAAGACCAATGTTGGGTCGGTCGACCTGCTGGACAATGCTCCAGACGTCTTTCCAGTCTGGCGCGTGTGTCGACCAGCACCAGTTCTCGTAGGCGAGTCGGAATCCGTATTCGCCGAGCATGTCGCACAGCACTTGCAGGTCGGATACCATTTTGCTCCTATCCAGCTTACCGAGCGGCGTGTCAGTCGAGCCGACCTGAAGCATATCCGTGCCGCACGCCTGCATGATGCGGATCCAGCCGCGTGCTCTGTTCATTGCGTCTTTGAGGCCATCAGAGCCTTCGGGCCAGCCCTCGTAGTTGGAAAATGGCTGCAGCATCATGATTCCCAGGTTCCTCTTGTCGCATTCTTTCTTGATATCAGCTGCAACCTTGCAGAGCTCGTCGTAGTTGGATGGCTGCACTTCATGGCCGAGCAACGTTTGGCCGTACGAAAGGATATCGGGGAATGAAAGCTCGACAGCGGAGAATCCTGCGGTGGAAATGGCTTGCAGACGGTCAATAAGGGGTGGAGGATTGGATGGGCTGCCGAGCGAGCATGTTGCGTAGCTGATTGGAATGGAAGAGAGAGAAGAGCAGTCGAGGCCACTCATTGTGCATGTAAGATTATTAGGTGATTGTTGGATATTTTGCTTGGAAATTTGTCGAGATCCATGATATCGAGGCTGGTGCGACAGCTTTTTCGGTATGCAATGCTTGTGACGTAAGTATGGCTGGTGGAGTAGCGATGACGGCACCCGTTCAGGCCTCGGTGACGAGTCGACAGCCCACACGTTGCCGTCAGCATGATTCGTGTGCTTTTAAAATATAACAAAAACAACCTATTTTTCGTCGGTGATCTTGACATGCGAATGCAGCACATTTCCTAGACGAGAAGCGATGACAGTCCAATCAATAGTATCACGCCATCGGCGCAAAATGACTGCTTACCTTTTATGTCATCCTCGCATTTCCAGCATATCCCTGCACGATGTAATTAAAGACCACTGTAATTCGTGGACAAAGACAGGCATGAATTGCCGCACAAATGCCATGGTAGAGGATGGGCAAAGACAGGCTGGTGATGGAGGTCAAAAGCAGTATATACATCAAGTAACTATATTGTCAGCTTTACCATCCAGGTCCGAATGCAGTAAATTTCCCGTCTAGGAAGTCCAATGTAGCTTGCAAAGCTCTTGAAAGCACGAATAGTAACCAGTAAGTAAAGTAAGCGTGTTCTCCGTAAACTCCTTAATAAATGAGAATTCCAAGTGGTATATTAGAGTTTGAGCAAAAGATACATGGGGTAATATAGTGATAGTAAGGTGGCATAGGCGAAAGTATATATGTCGGCGGGGCTAAAACTCGGAACCCGAGCGTAAAAACGGGCTGGAGGCGACGCTTGATGAGCGGGCCAATGAGAAAAGGTCCGACTCCGCTGTCATACACAAAAACATTCGACTCATAAAGCGGCCTCGTCATCTGCGAAGAGAAACCAAGGCCAGAAGAAAAGCAGATCCAATTCAACGCAGGAAGCACACAAGGCTTCTTTCTTCCAAAGGCACGCTTGGTTTTTCCCCCCCAGTCCTCGCCGCCCGCCACCGTTTCCATTCAACATGTCTACGGTCAGTGTAGATTTGCCCCCCCACCACCGTGCCCTCTACTCTCTCTAACACGTCGCCGCAGTTCCACATCGAGAACCGAGCCGTCGGCGATCCGCACAACTCAGAAGACTGGCGCATCCGCGGCTACAACCCCCTCACCCCGCCGGACCTGCTGCAGAGCGAGATCCCGCAGACGGCCAAGTCGCGCGATACAGTACTCAAGGCGCGCGACGAGGCGGTGGAGATTGTGCAGGGCAAAGATGCGCAGAAGAGGCTGCTCGTCGTCATCGGGCCGTGCTCGATTCACGACCCGGCCGCCGCGCTCGAGTACTGCGACCGCCTGCTGAAGCTCAAGGAAAAGTACCAGGACGACCTGCTCATCGTCATGCGCTCGTACCTCGAGAAGCCGCGCACCACGGTCGGCTGGAAGGGCCTGATCAACGACCCGGACATTGACAACAGCTTCAAGATCAACAAGGGCCTGCGCATCTCGCGGCAGCTCTTTGCCGACCTGACGGAAAAGGGCATGCCGCTTGCCAGCGAGATGCTCGACACCATCTCGCCCCAGTTCCTCGCCGACATGTTCAGCGTCGGCGCCATTGGCGCCAGGACCACTGAGTCACAGCTGCACCGCGAGCTGGCGTCTGGCCTGTCGTTCCCCGTGGGCTTCAAGAACGGCACTGACGGGACGCTGGATGTGGCGGTTGACGCCATCGGCTCGGCCAAGCACCCGCACCACTTCCTGTCCGTCACCAAGCCCGGTGTCGTGGCCATTGTCGGCACCATCGGCAACGACGACTGCTTCGTCATCCTGCGCGGCGGCAAAAAGGGCACCAACTACGATGCCAAGAGCGTGCAGGAGGCGCGCGACAAGCTCGAGGCAAAGGGCATGAACTCGCGCCTCATGGTCGACTGCAGCCACGGCAACTCGGAGAAGAACCACATGAACCAGCCCAAGGTTGCGCGTGCCGTGGCCGAGCAGCTCGAGGCGGGCGAGACGGCCATCATGGGCGTCATGATTGAGAGCAACATCAAGGCTGGCACGCAAAAGGTGCCCAAGGAGGGCAAGGCCGGTCTCGTCTACGGCATGTCCATCACGGATGCATGCATTGATTGGGAGACGACCGAGACCGTGCTCGAGGACCTTGCTCAAGCCGTTGCCAAGAGACGGGTGCTTCTCTCTCAAAACGGTACTCAGTAAGACGAGCACGACAACAAGGTAAAACAAAAACAAAAGCTCACTTCGCCCATGATAACGAGGTCAGCAGGCGCGGCGCAAGGGACGGTCAGCAGGCGTTTTCTCTTTATTCCAGGCCGTGGAGATTATTATGGCCAGTGTATATGAATTACAGCATTAAAAGAATACTACTACAGCTAGGAATGCAAATAGAAAAGCCGCATGACTGATTTTACAACTCTTCCACCTCAGGCAGATGATCGTCGTTGTCGCCCTGGTACTTGTCGTACCAGTCTCGCGGATCGCCGCCAGGCAGGCACAATCCCAGTCGCCAGAAGTAGTCGCGGTGGGCGAAGAACAGCTGCCAGAATTTGAAACGAGACGGCACGCCCCACGCAGGTTTATCCGCATCGCTCCCCGCAATACAATTTACGTCTTCGTCGCCCTCGCAGTAGTAGACGTCGGAAACGGAAGCCGGCAAGCTGGATTCGGATATGAAGATTTCTTCGCTGTGCATGCTGAAGCCCCATTCGGCCAGTGGCAGCAAAGGCACGGGGTCGCCTACATGGGTGACGCGGTGCAGCTTGTTGTGCTCGTGGTTGGCTGTAATGTTGAAGCGCTCATTCACGTATGCGTTGAACTCCTTGTTCCCGAGTCTTGGCTCTCCAAAAGTGGTCACATGAGCATCCCAGCCACGCGCCTTGAAGTCCAGCCCAGCAAGCGTCGCAACAGCGCCGCCGAGAGAGTGCCCTACCAAAACCAGCTTGTAATCAGGGTATCTCTCCAAAGCCTCGGTAACATATGGCAGGATGACCTTGCGAGTGTTGAGCCAGGACGAATAGAAGCCCGTGTGAACAGTGCAGTTGTCGCACTTGGGCGGTTCGGCGGGCGGTGGGTTACCATCTTCGGCGCCGGCCGGCGGGGAGATGAAATCCGAGCTATCGTTTTCGTCGTCATCGCCCGGGTATGGGATGTATTCCTGGGGTATGGTGGAGAGATCGGCAATGGTGTTTGCGATCGAATAGGTGCCGCGAAAGGCGATAATAAGGCGCGGTTCCGCAGGGTGGTGCGAGAGGGCGATGTATCCGCACGAGTCTGACAGGAAAGGGCCCGTGTTCCATGCCTACAGCCATTAGTATTGTATGCGACGCATATGCGAGCGCAGCGACTCACCGTGACGAGGTCAAACGTCTCAAAGTCGCGATCCGCGCAACGGCTCGCACAGCTAAAGGGGCGCTTGATGCCCAGGCCGGCGGTGCCCACACAGTACGAGATGTCGACTATGCGCGCGAGTTCTTCGAGCTCCCAGAACAGCTTCTGGGAGATTAGAGTGGTGTTGGCGGTGGCTGTTCCGCGAAACAGTGGTTGCTGGTGGGCATGGCTGCTGTGGGCGGCAAAGGGCGTGACCAGCACAAGACAACAAAGGAGAAGGCCGCGTAGGGAGCCCATGGGGATGGCGCTTCACATGTCCCGGGTGTATGTAGGACGGTGGAGTGGTGAGGTCAGAAGGCAAATGCGGGTCGCGCAGCGCAGTCAGGCGTCGGTGGCGTCAGCGCCGAGACGCCGAGAAGACGCGCCAAGGCCAGGGTTGCACATGACATCATGGAGCTGGCCACCCAAAAGGCTTCCAGCTGCTGGTGGGCTTTGCTGAACTGGCCATTACGCGCTGCACACTGCTGACACAACTCCGAGCTCCGTCTCACCCCTTATACCAAGCTCCGCCGCCCCAGACAAGACTTCAATCGCTCCCGCCCGCTTCCGACCAGCCAGCCTGCTATCAGCCGGCCTTTCCGCCTTTTTATTCTGGCCACGCTGCCGCACTGTTGCACTATTGCTACCCGCCTGGACCGCACTGCACATGGCTGCCGAACAACCATCCAGCGAGCCTCTCAGGCCAACAACGCCTCCCACCGACGCCTCGCGCCCTACCACCGCCGGCCGGACAGACACGCTTCCCGTGCCCAGTTTCCAGATTGACGGCGTAAGCGACGACAAGGACCATGAGCTTCGTGTTGCCCGTGCCAATCACCCATCAAGCCTTAATCCAAGCGCGCAGCCAAGTCGAGCTGCATCGCCAAATCCTCAGGCTTACTTTCCCCACACCCAGGTCACGTACGATGACCCGGACTTCACCCGACCGCCTCCCCTCAACTACACGCTGCGCACACGCAAAAAGGCCATTTTCTGGTTCTGGACTCTGATCATTGTCGACTGCGTCTTCATGCCCATTGGCCTCTACTTTGGCATGTGGTATGGCCTCACCCGCGATGAATTGTCCGCCAACGCAGTCTTCAGCATCAGCACCGCCCTGCTGGGAACCGTGTCGATTGTCGAGTACTTTGTCCGCTTTCACCGCTTGTGGAAAAAGAGCTCAAGCTGTAGAGTGATTGGAGCCGAACGATGGTATCTCGACTGGTTCCACTGGAACTTGTCGGTGGGATGGTTTTTTGTCATGATCGAGCTTATCGCGTAAGTGTTTATCCGCCACGCACCCTGCCATGTTGTCAAGTCAACTAACTCATCACAGTGGCACATGTCCCCACGACCCTCCTATTCGCGTTCTCGCCATGCCCGCCTCTACTATGATGTTTGCCATTGGAATCGAGCTCCTCATCGTCGACGTCCTACGCATCATGAAGGTCCCAGCCCCTTGCCGTATCTCTTCTCTGCCCCAGGGTGCCCCCCTGCGTCCTGGTATCTACGCCTACATTGAGGACATTTGCGCCGTTGATGGATCTGGTGGCACCGAGTTCCGTCAGCGACTAAACCTCCGATACCAGGCCAGCAAGGCTTTCCGTGAGATGCTGCACCGCCTGACACTGTTCTGGGCCATTGGCGCCATCATCACCGCCGCCGTCTGCACCGCCATCATCTTTACTATCCAGCGAGATGCTGCCTATGTTGTATGTGCACATCACACCGTCTTTGACCCATTGTACTTTGCTAACTCGACACAGGTCGGCTGGGTGGTTCCATTTCTCTGGGCCGGCATCTGGGCTGCCATTACCATCAAATGGGTCCAAATCGAGCTCAAGCGCGAATATGAAGGATGGACTACGGCCCAGTTTAAAGCCTAGCCATATCCTCCTCTGTTGTCCCCCTATGTTAACCCAAACTTGTAATAAGACGTACACGCATCACTAGACACATGAAAGCTCATGCATGAGCTATGGCGTTTGAATGAGGGCCACGCCTTTGACGTTTGTTTTTTTCACTATTGTTGTTTCTTGGTTTTTTTTTGTGTCTAAAATGTCCACACAGCGAGATACCACTTTTTTTTGGCACGCGGAATACCAGTATACATGTTTTTTTTTCCTCTTCCTCTTACGTTGCATGGATGATGAAGTAATACGGATATCGCATATATCTATGTATGTATTAATACGTCTTGGTCGGCGAGCTGGCTCAAATTCACACCAACACCACTACTACTTTCTTGTTCTCACTTGAAACGTATTAATATCGCCATCTACGTCAGCCACGCCTATACCCCATGGCCCCATGGCCCCATTGGACCATATCATATCTCCACGTGCGCGCGCGGACGGACGGACGGACGGACGGACAGACATGACTGACATCACAATCACCATGTTAGTTAATCTTAAAATATGCTTTGGCTTTCTCATTCTCACCCCCGCCTTTTTGCCCAGAACACCGCGGCCATGGCAATGGCTGATCTTCTTCCTACTGCTGTTACAGTTACTGTTACTCTTACTGTTACTGTTACTGTTACTGTCACTTGGTATTGGTACTGGTATTAGTATTACTCTTGCTCTTCAAGCACACGCACACGCACACGCAGGGCTTAAGGACCACTGCAAACGGGGTACTACAAACGGGTAACGATAACCGCTGACGCATTACACCAAGTAAGCCTTTTTTTTTCTTCCTCTTTTTTACCATCTTTCCTATTTTATTTTATTTTTGTAGTTGGGTGGATTTGCGTGTGCGTGTGCGTGTGCAGAGTACGTGTACGTGTACGTGTACCGTTGTGCCAGTGTTTGCGTGTCCCGCCCCCTTGCTTTGGCTTTGGCTTTGTGGAAACTACTAGCACCCGCACCCAAGACACCAAGACACCAAGACACCAAGACACCAAGACACCAAGACTCAAGACCTTGCTTGGACTATAGAACTACAGTACGTACGTACGTAGGACTGCAATTGGGGAAACGGGAGACTTGTGCATGTGCATGTTTGAATGTATCTTCGTCTGGGTTGAGCTTAGATGCTCTCTGTCTCTGTCTCTCCTACCTACTCCTGTGTCTGTATCTGTCTCTGTGTTTCCGTCTGGCTTTTTTTCTTCTTCTCTCCAATATCTGAATATGAGGAATTACAACTTCGCACTTGCGACTGTGAACAATTCGTGTATGTATTTATGCAATGATACAATCACGATTTCGCATGAGGTGATGTGGGGGAGGGTTCAAGCAGTCTTCGCAGCTTGCACCTTGCAGCTTGCAGCTTGATCCCAACATTTCGTATCCCTGCCTGAGTAAAGTAGCACCTGCACCTGGTTGGGCAGGTTTCTGGCCGCAAAAAAAAGACATGGCGCATGTGCATGCACAAATTTATGATTGGGTATCACAACGCAAACATGCTCAGCTACATACTTATGCGTCTTCTTCTTCCTCCATCTTGGTGTCTGCATTGTCGTGCACCTGCTTTGCAGTCTTATTGCGTCTTGCTTTCAGCTTGACGACTTGGACGTCCCACGACTCCATATCGACGAGGACGAGGGTGCCCGAGGTACGGAATTTGGGGACGCTGACAAGCAGGACTTTTTGGCCTGCGGGACCCTGGATGAGCTTCTTTTCAAACTTGTTTTGGCAGCCGGCTATGTACATATGTGGGCACTCTGTTAGCATCAGGGGATCGTTGTCCTGGAAGGGATAGCACCATAGTGTGTCTGGGGCTGTGGGCGCTACGCAGCGCCATCGTAGCATCATTTCCATGGCGTCGACCGACTTGACGCGCTCGAGGTACTTCAGGAGGTCCTTGACGGTTTGGCCGCCGGTGCCGAGAACTCGGTATCCGTCAATGTCGCCTGTCCAGGGGTTTGTGACTGCGTCGAAGCCGTGGAGTGTTTGGTTGCTTTCTATTGGTGGCTCGGCGTAGAGCCTGGTCTTGGGGAACAGCGCCGGGTGCAGGGGCTGTTGGGGTAGTGCAACGTTTGCAGGGTCCGAAGCGCCCGGGAGCAGGGTTATGGGTAGGGTGGGAAGAATTTCAGTGAGGAACTCGTCGAGGCGTGTGGTTGGTGCTGCGTTGTACGAAGAGGCGTCGTATCCGTAGTGTCTGGCGGCACTCTTCTTTGCGGCAAAGTCTTCTCGCGATAGAATTGGGGAGCCGCGGGCCAGCGAGCCTCCTGCTATCATAAGGCGGGTGATCTTGGACGCATCCTCTTGTGTCGATGGGTCTGCGGCTTCGCCTGTCAAGTATTCCACAAGCATATCCAGTGCTATGTCGTCGTCGTCTGCACCCGTGAGCTCCAGTCCCGATACAATCGCCAACTTTCCGGCAGGCTCGCGCTTGGATGTCTTCTTCTTGTCCTTTGTAAGCGCAATGTCGTCAAGTTCCCACCGAGGCGGTTGTCTCGGTAGGTCGGCACATTGCGTTGCAATGACCTTGAATGTGCCGTCAGCCTCCTCAGTCCCCAGTGCCGCAAGTATACATCCAGTGACGAAGTGGCGATGCAGCGGCTCACCCGTGACACGAAGGCGCCCCGACTCGTCCTCGAGCATCATCTCGTCGCCGCCCGAAGAGGAAATGTACGTATCGCGTTGCGGGGGGTCGGCTATCCAGTGCTAAGTAGTGTTAGAAGGGCTCGACTGCGCGTTGGAGGGCGGTTGTACATCTTTCCCAATATCATCCAACACATTTGGCTTCTGTGCCATTTCCATGTAGACGGTGCCCACTACCCAGCAGAGCTCGCCTTGCCGCACATCCAGCACACGGTCAACAAAGCTTGCCTTTTGTCCACCCAACTAATCATCCATCAGCCATGCAACACCTCCAGAGCCCCGCTACATGGCAAAGCATACCTCAAAGTCACGCCAGGCCTCGCCGGCTCTCTCCATGACCGTCTTCTTCAATTGCATCAGGCGCAAAAAGTACATGTCTGCGAATTGTTGCGAGTATTGTCTCTCGTTGCCGGGCGGTAATACAAAGTGATGGATGGGGTTGTATGCAGAGGCATTTCGAGACGGGGCGGGCGGCGCATCCTCGCTGTTGTTATGTTAATAATTAATCGTTGGTCTAAAAGAGGTATCGTACAAAGGCTCGCCCTTGAGCAGACTATCTGGAGAGGTGGCCATTGGAGTGGTGGTGCAGCGCGACGAGGAGAACTCCGAGCATGTGAAGCTGGAAAGTTGCAAACGACCTACCGACATACGCAAGTCGCGTCGCGCGTCATTGCGCGCCAACCCAAACGGGAAGTGTTAGGGATTCCATCCTACAGGAAGAATTTCTTTGTAAGGAACCCTGCGCAGCAAAACATGGACACCCCTACTATGTAGTCGCATTACCATGACATGTTCACCTTGGTGCATTTATTTCAATTAACTTTGTTGATAATTATTTTGATTATCTCGGCCACATTGACCTCGCAATACCAATACCCGCCAAACCTCCAAGCAGGCCTGAGCTATTGACCATCCCCAGGTCTATTTAACTCATGCCCTTGGGGGGTATATGGTCTTTTCATCTAATCTTTTGCAATCACAGAGGCCAGAGTGTGTGCCATCTGTGTTGTTGTTGTTTGTGTCATGCAGTATAGTATAGTAATAATCCTCGTTACCGCAGTAACGTTCGTAGATAGGTATCCCATCCCGTAAACAAAATAACAATGCGCCAAAGGTGTCCACCAAAAAGAAGATTCGTGATGAACTTCGGTGTCTGAGAAGGAGAAGAAAGAGAAGTGGGTATATTAGAAATTAGAAAGCGTTTAGAGCATCTGGGTGAGTGTTAGCAAGCTGGTCGCAAATGTAGTCAAGACAGTTGAGACTTACAAAAGCAACACCGCCAGCGACGATGAGACCAAAAGCAGAGCCGGCCATGTGCGAGGCGCCGCCAGTGAAGGGGAGAGTCGACTTGGTGGGCATGGCGCTGGTGTGGGTGGGAGCAGCAGTGCCGGTTGGGTAGTAAGCCGAGGTAGCGGTGCCGTTTGGGGAGATGTAGGATGCCGAGGCGGTAGCGGCAAGCGCAACGACGGAGACGATGGAGAACTGCATCTTGATGATGGTGGTGTTGATGTGTGTTTGTGTGGTGTTTGTCGAGAGACTTGTCAAGGTCGAAGATGGATGAGTAGTGGTAGTATTCGAGAGCTGGATGTGCTTGATGATGATTTCCACGGCAGCACAGGACAGCGGCTCTTATATCGAGCGAGCGTCGCAGGCCAAATTACTCACGTCCGCTACCTTGACCAAACACGGCACCCACCCGCACACGTACGACGGCCACGAAAGAAACAAAAAAGATACCCACATCCCAGCCCTTTTCTTGTCCGCCCAGCCCCGACGACGCACCCCCCTGGCACTTCCCAACGAGGAAAAACTTCCACTCGGCAACTCGCGCTTTCGTTGGCTGCCGTGCGCGGGCGCGGGCGCTGGTGACATGGCGCCCTCTCCCTCGTCGGGCAGTCCGGCAAAGGGGGCGCAAGGAAAGGGCTGGCTTGCTAATTTTAGCATCCTCCCAGCCACACTCACAGCCCCTCTCAAACACACTCGCACTCGCTCATGCCACAATCTCTCGATAACGTATCTTTTTTATCCCGCACACACGCAGCGATACCTACTGGCGGTGTCGCAAGAGGCGATGTCATGGGGGGGCACAAGGGGAGGCTGGGGTTGCGCCTCTTTCACGGCTCACCAAACACGGCGTTTCATAAACCCTGCAGAGGCCGACGACCACCACGACGATTTTTTTTTCCATCCCACCTCCGTTTTTTCTGCGGCTTCATGTCCGCTCCCTGCTCCATGTCCGCGTCAACTATGACCCAAGCGCACACGTCACGGCCAAGTTCTAGAACGCCAGCACCGGCGGCAACACGGAAAGGGGAGAGAGGCAGAGAGAGGCAGATCGAGAGAGCAAGAGATATTGAAACAAAGGCCCAATTTCGGGGCTACTCTACGCGCGCACACCCAATACTTATTTGCCCCCCGTCTGTTGTTTGTCAACAACCGGCGGCTGTCCCCGTCGTCCTGCTGTTCAGCAAAAGTGATAAGTATAGGCTAAATATGCCCCCCCCCCTCCATTGCTCCCCACAAAATGGAAGGCGCGGGCCGCCTCCAGACGGACGGGGGGGGGGAGACATGGCGGATCTAACGAATCGCCCATGGTTTGCTGATGGTCGCTTGTGCATGCAGCCAGCGTTGGAACAAGACGGGACGGTTGGACAATTTGCTGCTGTGCAGCGAAGTAGCTGCATTAGCGCTTGCCTACTTAGGGAAGCATCCTGCCCTCCCTTTCCCCTTTCGCGCGCGGCCCGCATAAGCTTATGTATGACTCTGTCTATGTCTATGTCTATGTATGTCTATGTCTGTATGTATGTATGTATCCAGTTCTCTTTTGAGATAATCAAGGGACGAGAGAATTCGGTGAATATATAGTACACGCACTGCTGCCTTTTGTAGTTTTCGTTTTTTTTCCTTTTTTTTTCTAGTACAACTCAAATATACAATCTGTGTGGTGAAGACGGCGTGATAATGGCATATACTCGACTATCTGAGTCGTCGTCGTTGGAAGAAGAAGAAGCATCAAAGTATGACAAGCATAGGCCGTCTCCTGCGCAGCTACCACGCAACATCACGCGGCTGGTATCGTATAAAAATCTTTTTGGTACTTGTCTTGGTCTTTGGATCATCACGGCCGTCACGCTTGCATGGGTGCTTGTGCACGGGTCCCGAGAGCAGCATTCCTCGAACCATGCTGTGGGCTCGTTTTCGTTTGCTCTAGGTATGTTGTCTCTCTCTCTCTCTCTCTCTCTCTCTCTCGGGGTTGCAACAGGCAATATCAATATCGATATCAATAACACTGACACTGACACTGACACTGACACTGACACTGACATATGGTCCAGTGCCGTCTCGGATTGTGACGTTCGGATCCAACTCTGATTTTCACTTCACGGCCAAGGACGCGGGCGAGTCTGCGTGGATGTCGTTGATGCCCAGTATGTAACCAAGCCCCCGTCCCAAACGACAAGAAAAAAGAAGCAGATGATATGCGGGAAACTGACTGTGTGGCTTTGCTAGACGACGGCGGAATCGTCTCGATCCCAGATCCAGCCAAACACCAGCTTCCCGTGAGCTACAAGGACCGGAACGCGTCCAACGCAGAGGTGTATTCCATGTCCATGTTCCATCAGCTGCACTGTCTGGTGGTAGACCCATTCCATTGCCCACGGGTATTATTATTGTCATTGTGTCTGTGTGTGTGTGTGTGTGTGTGTGTGGCAGGGGCATGCTGACGGGGCTCGTGAGAAGAACTCGATTAGGATGTTGCTGGGAGAGTTCGCAGGCCTCATCACTAACAGTAGTGCTGGTGGTGGCCAACTGGAGCCGAGGAATATTTTCGCGCCAGAGTCGCATGTCGATCACTGCTTTGACTATCTTCGGCAGGTAAGTTAAGTATTAAGTCCCTCCCCCCCCCCCTTTCAAGGCTGACGCTCAGGGGAACCATAAAAGGCTATCATGTGTGCAGGTGACCTGTCGCTCGAGCATTCTGTCGTGCCGGATGAGTTTGGGTTTAACGGCTGGGGCACGGCGCATGCGTGCGCAGACTGGGGCGCCATGTGGGAGCTCGCCGTGGAGCATCGCTACGAGCAGCAGCAGCAGCAGCAGAAAAAGCTATGTACCAGCGGTGCAGCTTTTGTTGCCCCCAAAGGCTTGATTCGTCTTCCCCTCCCCTGCCACCTGGATAATACGGCATCTTGTTCTTTTTTTTGGGGGGGGATCCACGTCAACTGCTGATGGCTTCTTTTTCGGGTTGGAATGACAGACTAGTACCGTTTGAGTTTGTGATAATAACTGGAATGCAACTAACTGCCAAGGGGGGGGGTTTTTGCGTCGTCGTCGTCGATTGCAACCCGCCTGTGCTTACAATTGACCTTTGATTTTGAGACGACTTCAGGCAATTGGGCGTCGCTTTCTACAGGCCGTCACTTTTGATTCAAAGAATACGCGTTTTATCCTTGAAACTGTCTCCAAGAACAGCTTAGTGTCACCGATGTACAGATGATCCTTAGTCAGTGCGCAACGCTCACGACCTGTACAGGCAGATTTCCGTTTTGGAAGGTTCCAACAGTTATTCCCACTAACCAGGTTTCATCGACTTTTGCCGCCTGCACTAATCACTGCAAGAGGGGAGAAGCTGGGAGGATTGGGACGTGGGGAAGCAAGCCTCTCGTCGGGCTCAGACAAGGAACAGCAGCATGCCTTGGGCAGAGACAAGCTCCGTTTGTGAAGCTTGGTATTCCCATGTCTCTGGGCTGGCCATGAAGACTCTGTGGTTGATCAACCCTTTGGCCGGGCGGCTTGCGGCGGAAACGACTTTGCACTCTGACTTCCTGTGACCACCACTTTCGCGTCGACTTTGCAAGCAGCCATGGTTCTGGCAGTTTGCTTCGTATATGCAGCCACATGGATACGATGACGGTGTCTAGGTGTATAGCCCACCGGCAGTATGCACAGGCTATCTCCGTGTCCAAGACGTATGGTTGAGTTGCAAATCCAACTTCGTCATCGTGTCTCGAGTTCTGCACGCAGCGTCAGCAAGCCAACATGTTTGTCGGCGACACGGTCCGCTGTCGAGCAGTCTGGGGAGAGTGAATCGAGTGTGCAAGAAGACTCGACACATATATAATGTGTACTCAAGACTGTCTTGTGGTCAACAAGCACTCCGACAGATCACCACAATCACCAACCTTGAGCATCCACTCGGCCATCTCATTCACCGGCACCATGAAGTTGGCTACTCTCGCTCTTCCTCTTGCTACCCTCCTCTCCGTCGCCAGTGCTGGCCCGGCGCCTGCTTCCAACCTCATCAGTTACCCCGCTGAGCACAGCATTGCCATGGTCAAGCGTGCTCACCTCGAGGCTCGATGCAACGTTGGGTGCCCTTGCAGTTGGTGCGGCATGACCATTTGCTGCGAGTGCGAGTGCTAGGCGCACACAAGAGTGGAATCTGGTAAGTGGATTGTGAAGAATCATAAACGCAGGCTGTAGCTGACGGAAAGACTCGGTAGCCATGGCATGAAGCAGGACTTTGTTTGTGGGTTGTGAAGGAAGTCGATCAGGATGGAGGGGGGGGGCTGGCGTGTCACTCGTTTTGAAGGATTAGCAAATAGCAATGGACAAGTTGGCATCACTGCTGAATCACGGCTGAAGGATGATATTGTTCGGACCGCAATTCGCCTCTCCCTGTCGGCAATTAATCAATCTTCCACGTCAGCAGGCAAGAGGCGCAAGGCTGAGGCGGGCTTGCACCCAAGTTGGCGATGTTGAGACGGGCGTGCATCCGAGCAGGCGAGGCTGAAGGCGTGTAAGGACGCCAAGTTCATGCATGGCGACGGCTATAGCCACCGCAGGGCTTGGGGGAACTGACATGGCATGCTCGCGGAGCCATGCATGCCTCCTTTGGGCGGTTGGTCACGCAAGGGGGACGTCACCGCCATGGGCCCAAGGGGGGGAGCACGTGACGCATGGCTCCACGGTCAACGCTGCAGGATGCACAACCCGGCCATGGCCATGGCGAGGGCATGAACGCATCCACCGAACGTAGCGGCCGTTCATGCGCAGGCAGCGGCTGGCGTGGTCGGGCATGCAGGCAGGGCTTGTGTGCTGCAGGCAGCCGGGCGGGCGGGCAGTCGTGTCGGTGCATGGCAGGCTAGCCAGCTGGATGCATTGCATGGGCGTACATATGCAGCGGCCGAGGACGAGGACGAGGGGGGCGGAGGAGGCGAGGAGGACGAGGATGGGGAGAAGGATGAGGTGGTGGTGGTGGTGGTAGGGCGATGCGATGCGGTGGGCCTTCCCGACGATCGCCCCAAAGGTCGACTCAACCCTCTCGCTGCCACGGGCGGCACGTGCATCGTGGCGTCGTTTGGGTTAGCGCAGCCTGTGCAGCTGGTACGACACGTCACTCGCCGTCGTCGCAGCAGCCACGACTTCGCGCCATCCGGGCAGCCTTGACCTGAACAACACGTCTGCCAGCGCAGCGCCGACGGCGGGCGAGGGTGTGGTCATGCCGGCGGGGCTTGTGCGGTGCCTCAGTCAGTCCAGCGGCCACTTTCGCTGCTACCGCCTCAAGCGAAGACCGAGCAAGCGCCGCGTGCAAGAGGTGGGTAGTGCTAGCGTTGGCGGCGGCAGAGACACCAAACCTATGGCCATTGCACGGGTATCCAGGAACCGGACGGGCTGCAGTCTGGCGATGTGATGTGACGCCGGCTGCATACCACGCCGCCCAACTGCAACGGGGGGTGGGAGATCGCAGGCACAGGGCTGAGCAGTTCGCCCCCCATCCCCATCCCCATCC